TCTGGATCTCGTTTTTTTCTGTGCATAATTAAGTGTATTTAAAATGATTTAAAATAAATTGTGAGTCATACCTCAGCCTTTTTCTACCAGTGAAATGAAATGTGATGTGTCAAAATTGAGTTAAATCCATAATCTCTGTGGATGTGCTTTTGACTTGCACGTAACGAAAAGCAGGCAGGCAAGACTGAGGCGGTCTCACACACTGTATTGACATTCAACAAGGAGAAGGTCAGAGTAGGCAGTTGATGTCAATATGTTCATCCCGAACTGCAATAAAGCTGTCCCAGCAACTGCAGTCCCAGCTGCTGCTTCCCCTCCTTTGGGTGAGAAATGCACCCTTCAGACCCAAGCTCCTTTGCTTTAACACAGGCTTGGTTGTTTTTCAATATCAATATGATTCTAGATTTCAGGTTTCCAAGATAAAATTTCAACTCCAGATCAGGCTTTATTTGACAAAGAGAGTAAGAGATGACAGCTGAGATTTCTGCTATTGGAAAATTACCGAATAATCGCAGAGCATGTCCTCCTACTGAGCATCATAAAGTGAGTTTAGCGCTCCATTTGTTTTCCAGTGTTTTACTGCAGATGCTTTTCTTAGGAATGGGGGGAAAATGGGGGATATCACTAGCAGTTTTTTAAAGTGTTGGGAAAATGTACTCTGCCTATTTTTCTTTTTTCTTTCTTTTTTTGTGCAAGTATTGGGGCTTGGATTTAGAGCCTAGGCGCTGTTTCTAGGCTGCTCAAAGCTACCACTTGAGCCACAGCTCCAAACTTCTGGCTTTTTTTTTTAAGTGGTTAATTGGAGATAAGACTCTCATAGAATTCTCTGCTGGCTTTGAACCATGCTCCTCAGCTCTCAACCTCCTGCCTAGCCAAGATGACAGGTATGAGCTACTGGTGCCTGGCTACTTCTTCTTTTGTTTGTTCGGGTTTTTTTTCCTTTCCTTTTGTCTCTTCTTCTCTTTTTCTTTCTTTTCTTTTTCCAAAGAGAGTAAACACAGGCCACAATTTTAAAAAAAGGTAGTACTTTGCTGTAACACTAAACCATGTCTACTGTGTTTTCTCTTGGACAGGAGAACACCTCTGAACAGTCAGTGGGCAAACATGTCCTCCCTTGGTGAGGAATCTGTTTCAGTCTGCAGATTTGGCAACTTCCCCATGGCAAATACCCCTAAGATAATTCATATGCTGTTCCAAACAGGTAACATCAACGCCAAGTGATATACCGACAGGAAGGATAAAAGGAATAGAAAGAAGGATCTACAATCACCTCAACTGTGACAGGACCTACAGGTTTTAACTCTGTCAGAACCATCCAGTGACAATTTTTAAAAAAAACAGATAATGGGGGCTGGGAATGTGGCTTAGTGGTAGAGTGCTTGCCTAGCATGAATGAAGCCCTGGGTTCAATTCCTCAGTACCACATAAACAGAAAAAGCTGGAAGTGGCGCTGTGGCTTAATTGGTAGAGTGCTTGCCTTGAGCCAAAGAAGCTCAGGGACAGTACCAAGTCCTGGTTTCAAGCCCCAGGACTGGGATATATATACATATATATACATATCTATGATATTTTATTGATATTATTAATGTATTTTCCAGAAGAGTTACCATTTCATAAATCAGGTAATGAGTACATTTCTTTTTGGACAATGGTACCCTTTCCTTCAAGTTCCAGTTTTTGGGGTTTTTTTTAAGTCAATTCTAGGAAAACTTCAAGAATTTAAAAGTTGGGAATTATTTCATGAGACAGTTCCTAATTTATATTGATTGTAACTAAATTTAAAATTTGCATGTATTTCCCATCCATTCTGCCCCACCCCTGCCTCCCACCCCCAAGTACTTTCCTAGAGCAGCCTGCCAGAGACAATGAGCACATAGTCCTGAGAAATGGAGAAGGCATGTGATTCATCAGCCACCAATGGTAGGCATTTGCACTCACTCAAGTCTTTGGGTGGCTAGCAAGCTTCTCTGCACTTTTAGTTGTGGTCACTTCCCCCTAGAACAAGATTTGAGGAGCATGAAGAGATCATGCCTAAAAAAAAAATCTTTGATGTCAGGTGGAATGTACAGCTAGGAATGAGAAAAAGGGTGTCTTGGTACTGCCAGTGTGCTGCATTTTATTTAGGAAATGAGACAAAAATCTTCTCATGATCAGCCGCTCCATGTGACATCCCAGCCCACACTCTGCTACTGACATTTTATCTCCCACTGAACAGCCCGGCTGTTGTAACATTTTCAGGATTCTTAATTTATGTCTTGCAGGATCTAAAATCAGATGGCAGGGACTTCAAAGAAAATAACCAGTGTTGACAGGCACCTTTATACTTCAAGAAGCTGCTACACCTCAATGCTGCGGAAAGTTAGGAAACATTCTGTCCTTCTTCCAAAACATTCCCCAAAGATGGAGGTAGGGGTTGTCCTAAATAATTTAATTTTCCTTTTCCATGGAGGTACATATCTATAAGGTACATACCTGCACTTGGGAGGTTACAGCAGGATGGAAGGAACAAGGCCAGCCTGAGTGACAAAGTGAATTTCTGTCTCAAAGCAAAAATAAAAACAAAAATAAACCTTATGAAAGACCTTTCCTTCCACCCAGTATTTGCTAGATAGCCCATTCCTTTTTCTCCAGATAAGAGAGTCTAATGTTTAATTCATTACAATTAGATTAAGCAAGGAAACTTCATGGTAATTAATATTTTTTATGTATAGCCAAGAACTATGGAAAAATGAATGGATAAAAAGATAAGATGAACAATTTAACTTTCTGTATGTTTTTTAACTTTCTGAAATGTTGGTTCTAGACCACAAGTGAGGGAAGATATGATAACGATTACATTATAGAAGAGACAGCAGGGTTCAAAAATGGAAGTGAGGGCTGGGAAGGTGGCTCAGTGGTAGAGTGCTTGCCTTGCATGCATGAGGCCCTGGGCTCGATTCCTTTGTACCACATAAGCAGAAAAAGGCAGAAGTGGTGCTGTGGTTCAAGTGGTAGAGTGCTAGCCTTGAAGTGAAGAGCTGAGGGACAGCGCCCTGGCCCAGAGTTCAGGCCCCATGACCAACGACAACAAAAAAGGAAACGGAGTCAGGTGCCCATAACTCATGCTTGTAATCCTTGCTACTCAGGATACTAGGATCTAAGGATTAGTTCAAAGCTAGCCCTTGCAGGAAAGGCTGTGAGACTCTTATCTCCAATTTAGCATCAAAAAAGCTGTAACTCAAATGATAGAGCACTAGCTTAGAGCCAAAGAAGCCCAAGGATATCACCCAAGGCTCTGTGTTCAAACCTCCCACCTCTGGGGTGGAGGGAGGAGGGGAGGAAGGGAGGGAAATTAGTCTCAAATCATTTACCTGTGAAGAAACACAAATATTATGCTCTTTCCATTACATTATGGCTTCGTAAACACAACAACTTTGGATCGGTCTATCATGAGTCTGCTGAAAATCTTTGCTCTCCAGGTTTATGATGGTGCTGAATACTTGGAGATTTGGAGATTAGACCTACCATAGCTAGGATTGCAGTGTGTATCCTGGCTCTGGAGTGCTCAGTCTTGATCCTTGTCTTCTTAGGATGGACTCATATCTATTTATCTGAAGATCAATGCCTAAGAACACAGACTTTGAGCCTGATGACTAACCAACCAAGATGCTTCATTTCTTTGTGCCTCATTTTTCTGTACTGTAAAATAAAAATGATAATTACATCTACATCATAAGGTTGTTGTAAAGATTAAAATAGTTTACAGACAATAGTTCATAAAACAGCTTATAGACTGGGTGTGGTGGCTCACACTTTCAATACTAGCTACTTAGGAAGTAGGGATGGAGAGGATTGCGGTTCAAGGTCAGCCTGGGCAAAAGAGTTTGAGAGATTCCATCTAAACCAAAAGAATCTCAGCAAGGTGGTGGTGTGAGCCTGTTATCAAAGCTGCGTGGTGGGTCCAGGTCCACCAGGCATAAATGGGAAACTCTATTCAAAAAATAACTGAAGACAAAACTAAACAAAAACAAAAATCACTTGAAGCTGGAGATGTTGGTTCTTGTGGTAGAGTATCTGCCAAGCAAGCACATATGTACCTGAGTTCAAACTCCAAAAAAGTATAGAAAATTCTGGCATGATCCATCGATTGCCACGTATCTTTGTAAATTTACTCACTATTCATGCACTTGCAACGTGCCTGTGAAAACTTCTGGTTAGATTTAAAAAACAAACAAAAAGCTAAGACAAGTCTTTCTTGCTCCATCCTTGGAGAGTAAGAAACTTGTATTCTCCTTTTTTATACATTACCTGCACATAGTAAGAAATGGCGCAAAATGCACATCTCGATGCCTTAAGTTACCGTGTAGGTCTTTGCACAAAGCCCGGGCATCTGTTCTTGTATTACTAAAGCCAAACCCTCAACAGCCTTAAACAGTCTTAAACAGCTCCTTGGCAGAGGCTTCCAATTTTCTTCTGGGCCCCCACTCCAAGCGAGCCTTGGAAAGCCCTGCGGGCAGGTTTAGGCTCATTTTCCAAGGCCGCATAGGAAGAAAAGGGACTAGGAGGAAGTAAGATTTGGTTGAAAACAAAACACCAAACAAAAAAACCAACAAAAGACCAGCCAACCCGTGGATTAGGGGGCGCCGCAAGTAGCAAGACTCTCCCTCCCGAGCCCCGCCTCGGCCCCGCCCTGGCCCCGCCCCAACTCAGGCCCCGCCCACAACCCCCTACACCTGACCTCCAGCAGAGCCTCCACCGCGGACTCGGTCCGCACAGCACTTGCGCAGTTCTTAAGGCGTCTTAACACTGCCCGTTTCTCATTGAGGGAAGAAGGAGCGTTCTCTTTTCAAAAGCCCTCGGCATAGCAAATTTTCCATGATTGTAGAATAGGCTAGGCCACTCTCCTGTCTTGAGCACCCTGCGCTGTGTCCCTGAGTGGCTACACAGAGTAGGTTTTAAACGAGGCTCTCCCTGGGCAGCCCGCGTCCCGGCGCGGGGTCCTTCGCGGAGCCTCGGGGCGCCCTCGGAGGAGGCAGGGTCCTTCTCCGGGGTGGTTGCTGGGGTCCAGGCATCATGTACTACAAGTTTAGCGGCTTCACGCAGAAGCTGGCTGGAGCCTGGGCTTCGGACGCGTACAGCCCGCAGGTAGGGGTTGTGCTTTCCTGCTCGGACAGGCGGGATGGCAGCTCGGGCCTCCGGACCGGGCCGGGCAGGCGCGGCCGGCGCCGGGCGAGGCTCCTGCCCGCGGGCGGCTCCGGGTCCGAGCCGCGTCGGCTGCGGGGCTCGCGAGGCCCCGCGTCCCGTGTCTGCCGCTCGGCGGAGGGGCCCGGCGCAGAGGTTCGGCCTGGTGCCCTGCAGGGGTCAAGGTGACCCCCGGGGTCGCTGCTTGTGTGCGCTGGGAGGCGGGAGAAGCCGGCAGCGCCGGGAGTGTCACTTCGCTCTCTGAGTTCGAGGCTCGGCTCTTCCCCTCCTGTCGAGGAACGCTAGCTTTTGGCCTTCTCCACAACCCTCTTACCACCGCCGCCCCGCTCCGTCTCAGCAGCCTCACCCGAGCACGGGGTCCTCGAGGGCGGTCGGTGCCGGGCCAAGGAGCGGCCTGCGGAGGCTGCGCACGGGAAGCCACGGCTGCGCGCACTTCCACGTCTCAGCCGTGAAGGGCCCGTGGTTTGACCATTCAGATTCCACCCCAGCTCTTCCTGTCGGAGTTGCGATTTCCAGCCTGCACGTTGTAACGAGGCCGTGTTTTTAGAGTCTCATACACATTTGGGTGGTTCAGGCACTGACTTTGCGGCTTTTAATCTATTCTGAGCTCAGTTGCATCCAGCATTCTTGACAAGTGCCTGGTTCTGGATAAGCGATAGCTATTCTCCAGAATCAGAGGCTGCGAAAAGGCGACATTCATTCCTCATCCTCCTACAGTAGTGTGAGAAGGGTCGGTGAAACACACAGTTAGAAAGCTTTGCCTACAATAGTAACAGACCCGTAGGCTATAAAGGCTATTGTTGCCTCTACCCCCCCCCCCCCTCCATTTTTCCTACTGAGAGACAGTACAGCCTGCTCAATGAGAAGATGTTTAAAAATGTGATTTCAGCCAGGCGCCGGTGGCTCACGCCTGTAGTGCTAGCTACTCAGGAGGCTGAGATCTGAGGATCGCGGTTCAAAGCCAGCCCAGGCAGGAAAGGCCGTGAAGCTCTTATCTCCAATAAACCACCAGAAAACCGGAAGTGGCACTGTGGTCCAAGTGGTAGAGCGCTAGCCTTGAGCTGAAGAGCTGAGGCCCAGAGTTCAAGGCCCACGACCGATCAAAAAAAAATAAAAATGTGATTTCAGTCTAAGATTCGATATGCTACTGGTTAGGATAAGGAGGGAAAGTTTTCTGGGGTGAGAGGAGGCCATGGGAAGCGAATGTCTATGGTTTATCATTACTGTGCTTGTGATACGTCGTATCTGGTAAAAGTTGGATTTATGAATAATACACTTAATAGGGAGATCTCCGTGTGTTCGGTCCATAGATAGGGGGTAGTGGATTCTGGTGGAGAGATCATCTAGGAAGTATTTAGAGAACAAATGTCCATGTTTCAGTTGAAGAAAATTGATTCAAAGAACAGTCCAGTATTAGAAGAGTAATGAATTGCAAGGAAGGAATTGCCAGTAATGTTCCAGTGGTTTCTTTTTTTTTTTTTTTGTCGGTCGTGGGACTTGAACTCTGGGCCTGTGCGCTGTACCTGCACTCTTCAGCTCAAACCAGCGCTCTACCTCTTGAGCCACAGTGCCACTTCCTCCAGTGGTTTCTTTTGTAGAATATGTGGACAAGTGGCCCTTTCTAAGCTACTTCTAAAAGGTGTAGCTTTTAGTGCTTGGGTCTTAAGTGTTACTGTTTAAATTTTGACAGCTATATGATCTACACTGTGAACTCCTAGGAACTTCCCTCATACTCTCCCTCTACCAACTTTGCCTGTCCACTTGCCTAATTATGACTTTTGACTTTGTAGATAATATTGCCAATTTTTGAACCTCATGTAAATGGAACCACACAGTATGTGTGGTGTATTTTTAATGTATTTTTGAGGTTTTATGTTACATGACATGATATGGATATATCACAGGTTGTTTTTTTCGGTAGTGATGGGAGCAGTTCATTTAATAGAGCTTTAGCATAATCTGATCTTTGTTGCCTAAAAAGGAGAAAGTGACATTTCAAAAAAAACCAACAAAAAAAACTGATACAGAAATAAAACTAGCACCCAGAGCAGAGATGATCACAAATGCATTTGATATAGGTAGGGTTTTCAGATTCTGGCATCTCTTGAATTGTAGAATTTGAACCTCTTAAAAACTCCTCCTAAACCCTGACCCCTCACCCCTTGTATTACTCAGGATTGAATGCTGTCCCAAATTAAAGAGTTCTTGAGTGGTGGCCCAGGGATAGGGTGCCTGCCTAGCAAGCAGGAGACCCTGAGTACAAACCTTAGAGCCAGGAAAAAAGAACAGGAGAGGCAGCAGTGAGCGATAGGCTTGTCGATTTCAGAGTGATTTGGATAGCACGCATCAGGGGCTCTGATTTTGGTCATTAGGATTACTCTAACTTTTCCTTTCTTGGAGACACGAGCACACTGTAGTAGTTGGAAAGGGTGCTATTTTTCAGTGATTGATTGGAAAGCATTTTCCTTACCTGTGTCCAGTGCCACAAATAAATTGAGGCCAATAATTACATGAAAAGATGATTAATATTTTAACATCATTAGTCATTAGGGAAAAGCACATAAAAACCACAGTGAGATACCACTTCACATCTGCCAGAATGCTGATAATCAAATGGCAGACAAAACCAGACAGCACATTGATGGAGAGAATGAAAAATGGTTTGGCCACTTTGATATGTAATTTGGTGGCTTCCCCTCCCCCCTTTCTTCTTTTATTTCATTTCTTTCAGTTGTTTATGACATTCTGCGTATATCAGGCTGACCTCACACCCCTGATCCTCCCATCTTTGCTTCCATTGACTGAGATTACAAGTATATGCCACTGTACCTGGCCAGTTTGGTAGATTTTGCTATATGACATATCAGTTCTCCTAATTAAGATGGCAAAATGATAGTCTAGGTAAAGAGAATTGAGAGTAAAGTAGAGAAGGGAGCTGGGGGGAAATCACTGAGTAGATAAGCTTAGATACGGAGGTCTGAGGTAGATCATAAAGGGTTTAGGTTGGTTGGTCTCCATTTTGGGAGAAGTGAAACAGTTGCAATAGTTTGCCCTCTTACCCATTTGAAAGATGTTGAAGGTAAGGAAGGCGGACTCCAAGAAGATGGGAAAGGAGGGTGGTGATGCTTTGCACAGAGAAGGAGCTTCCAGATAGGCTTATGAGTGGATTCTGGACATGCCCAGTATGAAGTGTCAGAGAGATATAGAAGGGAGAATGTCCAGCTTGCAGTTAGGAATGAATGGAGTCATTGAAACTAGTTTGTAGTCCTAAATTAGAATGAAAGGGTGTAGCGGTTTCTAACATTTAAATTTTTGAGGTAATTTTCTTAGTTTTTTACCTTCCTACTCAAACCTAAATAGTAGAATATGAAGAAAATGTTGGGCCAGTCAGCTTTCGGGGAAATAATTTGCTTTTCTCCTTTAAAAATTATGAGCAGTTAGCGGGGCTGGGAAGGTGGCTCAGTGGTAGAGCGCTTGCCTTGCATGCAAGAGGCCCTGGGTTTGATTCCTCAGCACCACATAAGAAAAAAGCTGGAAGTGGTGCTGTGGCTCAAGTGGTAGAGCGCTAGCCTTGAGCTGAAGAGCTAAGGGACAGCGCTCAGGCCCAGAGTTCAGGCCCCATGACTGGACCCCCCCCCAAAAAAAAAATTATGAGCAGGTAGGAACTGGAGGTATAGCTCAATCAGTGGTAGAGCATTTGCCTATCATTGAGACCCTCTGTTCAATCCCCAGCTTCACAAAGGGTAAATAAACAAACAACCCACAGTAACTCCCACCCCCTTTGATTTCCCACTCAAGGTATTTGCTTGCTAGGTGGTTGCTCTATCACTTTAGTCAGGCCCCCAGCCCTTTTTGCTTTAGTAATTTTTCAGGTAGAGCCCTGAAGTTATGCCAAGGCCAGCCTGCCTTTGATCTTCCTATCTATGCTTCCCACTTAGCTGGGATAACAAGTGTGCAGCACCATGCTCAGTTATTGGTTGAGATTGGGTCTCTGGATGTTATTACCCATGCTGACCTTGACGCATGATTCTCCCAGACTCTCCCTTTGATGGAGAGAATGAAAAATGGTTTGGCCACTTTGATACGTAATTTGGTGGCTTCCCCTCCCCCCTTTCTTCTTTTATTTCATTTCTTTCAGTTGTTTATGACATTCTGCGTATATCAGGCTGACCTCACACCCCTGATCCTCCCATCTTTGCTTCCATCGACTGAGATTACAAGTATATGCCACTGTACCTGGCCAGTTTGGTAGATTTTGCCAGGGTTACAGGCATGAGCCATCTCACCTGACTTTTTTTTTTTTTTTAAGGCAATTTAAATGGACTGGGAAAAACTAGCCTAAATGGCCCTTCATTAGTTTTGGAGGTATGAATTTTCACCTCTTCGAAAAGAAATTTGTTGGGCTGGGTATAGTGGTACATAAGTAGAAAGATGAGGTCTGTCAGACAAAATGTGAGACCCTATCTGAAAAATAGGGCTGGGGGTATGGCTCAAAGAATAGCATGCCTGCCTAGCAGTCATGGGGCCTTGGATTCAAACACAATGCCACCAGAAACCAAAATAGTCAAACAAAAAAGAACCTGTCTCGTCTGCTCTCACCTCCTTAGTACTACCTCATCCCTAAACAGCTACTAATCAGTCTAGTTTCTGTTCCCTATTCTGGGCTTGCTTTGAATGGAATCATAAAAGATGTGGCCATAGCATGTTTTCAAGACTTGCTCATACAGTAACATATCAGTACTCCTTCCGCTTTTTGTGTGCTGGGCCTGAGACTTGAACTGAGGTGCTGTTCTTTAGCTTTTTGCTAAAGACTAGCGCTCTACCCCTTGAGCTACAGCTCCCCTTGCTGTTTTTTTGTTGTTGTTGTTTTTTTTGCTGGTTAGTTGGAGAGAAGAATTTCATGGAATTTCCTACCTGCCCTGGCTTTGGACCACAACCCTCAGATCTTAGCCTCCTGAGTAACTAGGACAGGTGTGAGCCACAGGCACCAGGGCCACTTTTATTGTATATGTATTTAACTTATGAGTTTATTAAGGCTTGAAAGGTCAGTTATTTTATAGTTTCCTTTTGGCTTTTAATTTTCTGGTCCTAAAAGACCAGGTTTTTTTCCCCCTATCATAGTCTCATAATATTTCTTTTTTTTTTTTTTGGGTCCAGTCATGGGGCCTGAACTCTAGGCCTGGGCGCTGTCCCTCAGCTCTTCAGCTCAAGGCTAGCACTCTACCACTTGAGCCACAGCGCCACTTCTGGCTTTTTTCTTTTTGCTTATGTGGTGCTGAGGAATCGAACCCAGGGCCTCAGGCATGCAAGGCAAGCACTCTACAACTGAGCCAACTTCCCAGCCCCTTTCATAATATTTCTTTACGATGTGTCTGGAAGTTTTGGAAGTCCACTGTGGGATGAGGCATTCCATATTAATTCATTAGCTTAAGCCAGAGGAGAAAAGAGACAGCTACAGGTTCAAAGAGGCTCCTAAGTGTTTTACTGGTATGATATGAAAGTAGACCCAGGTGGTGTTCTGAAGGCTCAGAACGGGCTTCTCATCTTGCATGGTTTGCTGTGGATTGAGATTAGGATGTTTTGTCAACAGCTTGAGGCCTGGCAGTGCAGGGTTTGAGAGAGTTCTTCTTTCCCTTGTGTAGTTGCATGACACTGCCACTGCTCTAGACAGCCTGCTCCTTGGAAGATTTGCTTGGATACCCAGACATGCTTTGAACTCTGCTTTCCTTTTCTCCTCAGGGATTAAAGCCTGTGGGCTCCACAGAAGCACCTCCTATCATATTTGCCACACCGACTAAGCTGAGCTCCAGTTCCACTGTTTATGATTATGCTGGGAAGAACAAAGTTCCAGAGCTGCAGAAGTTTTTCCAGGTGAGGGAAGACATTTGGGAGAGAAACCTGTGAAAGGAAAAGGTTTAAAAATCTCTTCTGAAGCTGAATTTTAGACTGGTCTACTACCCAACCTTCTTTTTCTTTATGTAGAATTCTCTTGATTTTAGTTTCAGCCATACATAAACTAATAGGAAATTTCCTAGGTAATGCTGATGACAGCCAGCAGGGCGGTTAGGGCCTTATCACAATGTTAAGTGTACACAGGCTTTTGTATTGCATATATATCAGTTCCTGTCACCTAGTTTATATTTGTGCTTGGGACATGCAGTGTCTTTTGGTAACAAGTTTTCTTCTAATTACTTCTTCTTGCTTGACATTAAAATTCACTGAGCTGTTGATAGGAGTTACCAGAGGTCCTCTTGGGTAGCTGTGCTAATCAACAGATAGAAGACAGAATTGAAATTTCAAATGTTATTAATCTACTTAGAGATAATTGAAACTCTGTGACCTAGCTGTGTCTCACGTGCTACGGGACTGGCAGAGCCCGCTGCCATTGCAACAGGATCACTGTCTCCTGAGAATGTCATTTCAGGTCCATTCTGGAGATAGTGTTCCTCTGGTCTGATTGCCTTGATCCCCTTTTATCTACTAAGTAAGATTTAAGAGGACTTTGAACTCTTGAGAGCTTTTGGAGACTAAGCAAAATATAATGGATTAAATATCTATGGAGTCTATTTACCAAATGGGGCTTTAACTATTTGATGGAAAGAAGGAAGCTGATTATTTTCTTGAGCTTAGTAATTGTTCTGGTGTGTTATGACATTGTCAGAAACCAAGCTAAATGCGGAAGTACTTGGAAAGCATTTCTTTTTCTCCTTTGTGTGTTTGCATATGTGTGTGTCCATGTGTTGGGTGTCCATGTGTGCATGCAGTGTGTGTGCATGCATGTGATTCTGGGATTTGAACTTAGGGCCAGCTGTTTGCTATGGAAGTGTTTCAGTATTTGAGCTGTATTCACAGCCCTTTTTGCTTTTGTTTTTAGATAGACTCTTTTCTTTTGCTCAGGACTGGTCCCAGTCCTCTATACTCCTACTTGGGGTTATAGCTGTGTACTACCACATTTAGCATCTTTATTGAGATGGAATCTAACTTATGCCTAGGCTAGCTTCAAACCAAGATTCTTTTGATCTCTGGATTATAGGTGTAAGTCACTATACCTGGCACCATTTTTGGTATCTGGTGGTATCTTTGCCTTTTTAAAAAAAAAAATTCTCCAGTGTGCCTTGGGATTTGGGAGTTGTTGCATGATGTTGCCTCAGATTGATTTGGAGAATGGCTTAGGATCTACCAGCTTTAGCTGCATTTTTAAGGAAATAGACCATTATTTTAGTCAGCACTCTGATGCATTAGAGCTTTTGCACTCTGTTTATGGATCAATTTCACAGTAGATACATTTATTCTTTATTGTGCTAAAGTTGTGAACTCTTATGACCCATACCCTTGTTAATTCTCATTCATTCAGAAATCTGATGGTGTGCCTATCCACCTGAAAAGAGGCCTGCCTGACCAGATGCTCTACCGGACCACTATGGCGCTGACTGTGGGCGGCACCATCTACTGCCTGATTGCCCTCTACATGGCTTCTCAGCCCAGAAACAAGTGAGCTCTGCTGCAGACAACAGTTTGGTTTTGGCATAGACCCTTTGAAACTTCAGTTTTCATTGTTTTTCTGAAAAATCATTTGTTTCATTGTTTCCTCTTGGATGGCCTCCTTAACATTTTTGCAAAACAAAGAGAAAGATATGAGCAGTATTTTGGTTTGTTTATGAAATGTATATGGCCTGTCAGATGTCAGAGCTCATTTGACAGTTAAACTATTGTGCTGTGAGTTTGGGCTCCTGATTTCCCTGGAGAGTCTGGATGAAGGTGGAACACACAGGATCATTAGTGTCAGTCTATGCTGATGTCCTCAGGGACCTAGAGAGTTTTTTTGTTTTTTTGGGGGGCGGAGGTCTAGTCATGGGGCCTGAACTCTGGTCCTGGGCCTCAACGCCACTTCTGGCTTTTTTCTTTTTGCTTATGTGGTGCTGAGGAATCGAACCCAGGGCCTCAGTCATGCAAGGCAAGCGCTCTACCACTGAGCCACCTTCCCAGCCCCTAGAGAGTGTTTTTTAAAGCATGGAATGCACAAGTCTTTCTGGATTTGGATGTGACTTGAGGAAGGAAGACAAGCCAAGGCCAGGCGCTTGAAATAAGGGCTCAGGTTAGTGGCACCTTGGGGGATTTTTCCATCTTGCAGCAAAATGTTAATAGAAATTATTTGCAGCTTGCCTGTGTTTGTTTCAAAGGGTTATTTGCCCCAGCCCAGATCATGTTATGTCTGTGTTCCCATGGGAACAGCACACCTGTTAGTGCTGCGCTGCACACTGGCTCCTTTTGTGAATGTGGCCGTGCCACAGATCTTCCTCTACCTTTTAAACATGTTATTGTTCTAAATTATGGCTTATTTGACTGTGGAATAAATACATGTGTAAAAATTCAAGTGTGAAGTTCTTTTCAGTTTGATCATCTTTCAAAATAATTGCTGAATACTAGAGTTTAGTAAACCTGAAGTACCTGTGAATTTTCTTTTTATTTAGCCACCACATAATCTTATGAAGTAGTTTTTCAGTCAAATAATAGATGTCTCCTGGCTGGTTAAATGGCTCTTTATAAGAAACTTTGCAGCCAGGCACTGGTGGCTCACGCCTGTAATCCTAGCTATTCAGGAGGCTAAGATCTGAGGATCGAGGTTCAAAGCCAGCCCTGGCAAGAAAGTCTCTGAGATTCTTATCTCCAATAAACCACTGGAAAACTGGAAGTGGTGCTGTAGCTCAAGTGGTAGAGAGCTCACCTTGAGCTGAAGAGCGCAGGGACAGCGCCCAAACCCAGAGTTCAAGCCCCACAACCGAAAAAAAAAGAAAAGAAACTTTGCTTTTTTGGGAACTGTATCTGCATGCACAGTTTACTTCACACACTAGTGTCCTATGTTTTCATGACTGCTGGGAAAGTAAGGTGATGGTCAGCAGTGACTCCTACTTGGATAAGAGCTGGGGTTTGAGCCCGATGTGGCACAGGCAGACACCCGTGCACTAGGGAGGATCAGCAGGAGGACCAGGAATCCAGACCAGCTTGGGCCTACACGGTGGGTTCTTGTCTCAAACCTGCACTCTCCAAAAGAAAAAAAAAGGGTGTTTGAAAATACACAATAGCATTTTCACAGGCTAGGAAACTTGTTTTTGTACAAATCTAAACTTTATATTCTTTTTGGGGTTTGCTTTCTGGGTTTTTTGTTTTGTTTTTGTGTTACCAGAGTTTGAACTTAGGGCTTTAGTGTTTACTACACAGGCTGTCTAACACTTGAACCAAGCCCTTTTATTAGGTTTTGAATAGGGTATTGGACTGGGCTTCTCCTATTACTGCTTCCCACATAGCTGGGATGATAGAGGTAGGCTGACTGTGGGAGGTGCCTGATTGCCTACTACACGACTTCCCAGAAACAAGTGAGCTCTGCTGTAGAGAATGGTTTGGTTTTGGCATAGACTCTTTGAAAGTTCCACTTTCATTGTTAATTTCTTTTTTCTTTTTCTTTTTCTTTTTTTTTTTTTTGTTGGTCGTGGGGCTTGAACTCTAGGATTAGTCGCTGTCCTTGTGCTCTTCAGCTCAAGGTGAGCACTCTACCGCTTGAGCCACAGCACTACTTTTGGTTTTCTAGTGGTTTATTGGAGATAAGAGTCTCACCAGGGGCTGGGAAGGTGGCTCAGTTGTAGAGTGCTTGCCTTGCATGCATAAGGCCCTGGGTTTGATTCCTCAGCACCACATAAGCAGAAAAAAAAAGCCAAAGTGGTGCTATGGGTCAAGTGCACTAGCCTTGAGCTGAAGAGCTTCGGGACAGTGCTCAGGCCCAGAGTTCAGGCCTCAGGACCGGACCCCTCCCCCCCCCTAAAAAAAAAAAAAGTTTCACAGACTTTCCTGCCAGGGCTGGCTTTGAACCGCAATCCTCAGATCTCAGCCTCCTGAGTAGCTAGGATTACAGGCGTGAGCCGATTGTTTCTTTTTCTTTTCTTTTTTTTTTTTCGGTTGGTTGTGGGGTTTGAATTCTGGGCTTGGGCGTTGTCCCTGTGCTCTTCAGCTCAAGGTGAGTGCTCTACCACTTAAGCCACAGTGCCAGTGGTTTTCTAGTAGTTTATTGGAGATAAGAGTCACGGCCTCTCCTGCTTGGGCTGGCTTTGAACCGCGATCTTCAGATCTCAGCCTCCTGAGTAGCTAGGATTACAGGCGTGAGCCAGCAGCGCCTGGCCTCTTATTTCTTTCTTTTTACTAATTTTGGGATTTTTTTGTCATGGTACTGGGGTTTGCACTCACAGCCTTACACTTGTAGTCAGACACTATCGCTGAGCAGTGCCACTAGCCCTACTTTGAGAAATTTCAAGAGTACAGAAAGATTGGAGAATAGAGAATGCACATCTGTGCATCACTCACTTAGGTTTTCAGTTATCAATACATTGCCACTGTTCATTTTTTGTGTGTGTGTACACAAACATTTGTTTTTTGCAGAATCACTCAAGGTTATGGAATTATAGCAAGTCAGTTGTTTATTTCAACTAAGAGTAAGGACATACTCCTTCATAACTGTACAACTGTCTGACTCAGAGTTAATGGTGATAAAAATTCTGCCATCTTAACACATGCTCTTTTCAAAATGTCCCCAAGTGTTTTAATCATGTCTTCTTTATGGTAGTGTTTTTAAAAAGTAATATTTCACATACCATACAATGCACTTAAAATGCAACCATCACCACTATCCGTTTTCACCATCCCCAAAAGAAAGCGTGTACCCCTCAACAGTCATCTTCTTCCCCCCACCTTCCAGCCCTAGTCATTGCTGCCTGTTCCGTTTTTGTGGAGTTATCTTCTCCAGATACTTCATGTATTTATCGTACAAGATGTGATCTGTGGCCACACCCACCCACTTTGGTAATTTTTTTTGAGGCTCATTCATGTATTATTTCATTCCCTATTGTGGCTGAATAATATTTGATTTAACCTGCTTATCTGTTAATGGACATGGGCTATTCCCACTTTGGGACTGTCATGAAGAATGCTCTACTGGAGGTGGTGAACAAGCCTTTGCGTGTGTGTGTGTGTGTGTATCATAAACTCAGGTGAACAAGCCTTTGCGTGTGTGTGTGTGTGTGTGTGTGTGTGTGTGTGTGTATCATAAACTCAGGTGAACAAGCCTTTGCGTGTGTGTGTGTGTGTGTGTGTGTGTGTGTGTGTGTGTGTGTGTGTGTATCATAAACTCAGGGCCTGGGTTGTCCCTGAGCTTTTCTGCTCAAGGCTCGTACTGTACTACCTAACTGCAGCTCCACTTCTGGTTTTGGTTTTGGTGGTTAGTTGGAGATAAGATTCTCACAGACTTTCCTGTCATGGTTGACTTCAACCTGTGATCCTCAGCTCAGGATTTACAGATATAAGCCATCAGCACCAGGATCACTAGTGATTTTTTTTTTTTTTTTTTGCCGGTCATGGGGCTTGAACTCAGGGCCTGGGCACTGTTCCCGAGCTTCTTTTGCTCAAGGCTAGCACTCTACTACTTGAGCCACAGCACTACTTCTGGCTTTTTCTGTTTACCTGGTACTGAGAATTGAACCCAGGGCTTCATGCACGCTAGGCAAGCTCTCTACCACTAAGCCACATCCCCAGTGATTCTTGACTAAGTATTAAATGGTTGTAAAAGGCATTTTTCTGTCCTATATTTCCTCAATCAGCATCTAATAACTATCCCTATCATCCTTGTTTTGATCTCAGGTGTGGCCCACATTTGGCCTATGTTCTGACAGGCCTCTGTCTTGTCTGAGGGCATTTTCTTATTTGGTGACAAGAAATAGTTTCCACGTGACCTTGTATTTTTCCCCTTTCCATTGCTTGTTTTTAGGTATGTCTGTTATTATGTTTAGACATTTTCCTTGTCTTGTTCTATTTTTGCCTATATGATACTATACCTTCCAAATTTAACTTATAGCTTAGATGTTGTTTTCCATTATATTCCATTTTGAGAACTTAGCTGGTTATTGTTTAATAGATATTATTTATTTTAGCAGTACTAAGGCTTAAACTCAAGGCCTAGCACTTGCCAGGCAGGTACTCTACCACTTAAACCATGCCTCCAGCCCTGTCACAATATTTGTTTTGCTTTTATAATCATGACTTTAATACTTCATAATCTTTACATGCAGTTTTACATATTGAACATGTTTGTAGGGTAATTTCTAGAAGTGAGACTTAAGAAAAAGAGAATATATGTCACTAATTCTGGTAGCTGTTTCTCCCTAGAGGTCGTACTGGCTTACCTTTCTGTCTCACAGGATTGAGAGTGCTAGACCTACCTCACCGTCGCCAACAGAATGTATGATTAGGCTTATTCTTTTGTCGGTTGTAGTGCTTGATCTCAGGACCTAGGACCTCTAATGCTCAAGGCTAGTGCTCTACCACTTGAGCCATATCTCCACTTTACAGTTTTTCTGGTGATTAGTTGGGAGATAAGTCTCATAGCCTTTCCTGCTTAGGCTGGCTTGAACTGCAATACTCTCAGATCTCAGCCTCCTGAAGTAGCTAAGATAAGCAGGTGTGAGTCACCAGCATCTGGCCACAAAGAAATTTCTGTCCCATGCTGGATAGACA